TTAACCCTGCTACACAAAGTAACAGAGTGCAGGCTGCGAAAGAAACTTTTGGGGCAACCTAGTGCAAGCGTATATACTCGCTTTTGTTTATTTAAAAGGGTTAGAGAATCGAGTACTTCCCCAGGAATCTAGGCGCAACCGATTTGGATAAACGCGTTCGCACAAATAGGCAACGCATTGTTGCTAACTCGAATATGAAGTGGAACCACGCACACCCGATGGGATTAGAGGATGCGTAGTGAAGCTATCGAGCGTTTCTCGACTAGCGTCGACCGATGTATTAATCAACTTTCCGGCTCCAGAGAGTGGATCGTTTTCGCGTATTATCGGCAATGCAGGGGCAATCTGTCTATGGCGTCACAACACGCGTAACACACGGATGAAATCGGTCTAGCGGTGCATATGCATAAATGAATATGCATGCAAGCGGGAACATCAACGATTCTCGCTCGCCGGGTTCATCTTTGAAAATTTAATTAACCGCGTATACGTGCTTAACATCGGAGAAACCGAGATGGCTCTCGAGTTGACCCCGAAGATCACGTACCGAACGTACGTATGGTTTATAAAACTGGAAATAACGCGTTCTCGTTGAGGTTCGTCAGACTCCTACTTAACCCTTTCGTTCCAATGTCTTCTGATTGAATTTCGTCGCGAGGTATTCTCTGTCAATATTTTTCATTGTTAAGCTATCGCGTATACTCGTCCGTGGATTGCGTTTATACTCGTGAATAATACCGAAAAATGGAGAGGTACCATTTAGACGGATGGTACGTCTTAGACGACTCTATTGTAGCAACTGTTATTGGCTATAATTGACGACAATTGCCGATAGCGATTTCCTCTACGTTTGAGCAATTGATACAAAGGACGAGGACGACGTTATCGTCGCGATGACGCCACTCAAAATGAGACGGATCTTCCAAGGCGTCCGTTCCCGAAACCTCCAACCATCAATGTTTGCAATATTGTTGGAAAATCGCCAGCAATTCGCTCGTCATCCACGAGTCATCGTAGATAATTATCGACAAATTTCTTGTATAGATACAAATTTCGCACGACGAATAAAATTCCAGTATTTTCTTTTGCACGCAAACATACTATTAAAACCAGTAGCGCAACCAGGATATTTTTGTATACCTGTAATTCTAGATACAAATTTTATTCCCAGCCCTACTGCTTTAACGGGGTATCCTGAATTAGGAGATCTAAAAAAAAGCGGTTATTCGTGAATTTCTTTAGGATGGAAAAAGATAATTAATTCTATCGAACTTTTTATCCCATTTTCATACATATTTGGGTATGTCTGTACGAATTTTTTCAACAAAAAATATTCAAATCGAGTCGACTGCGACGCACATTTGTAGAACACCTCACAGTAATTTTGGTTCGACACAAAAGAACCAAAAGAAATGTTCATTTTCATACATTTTTCTTCCATGTGAACTAAGAAAAACCCGCAACAATGGTGAAATGTGAAATCACTGCAAGTTTGAAGAAACGAGTACTTTGGATGAAAAAAATTCACTTAAACTTGATAAAAAAAGTTGTTTAGCGTTTCTTTTGTATGAATGTTCTTAGTTCAAATAGAAGAAAATTGTATGAAAATGAAAATTTTTTTTGGTTTTTTTTTTTGTGTCAAACCAAAATTACGACCTGCATCTTTCCCGCCGGTAGGAGGTTTTAATTGTGAAGTGCTCTACAAATGTGCGTCACAGTCGGCTCAATTTGAATATTTCTTGTTGAAAAAATTTCTACAGACTACTCAAATATGTACGAAAATAGTATAAAAAGTTCGATAACCACCTAAATTTTATTAACACGTTGACTGCCAAACGAATATTCTTGAAAATTTCTGCTAAGACTAAATATTATTTAGACTATCGGAGTCTAGGTAATGAAACATTTATCGTGGTATTTAGTTTTGTAATTACATCAAAATTCGAGAACTTCGTGTAGATTCATCTCCTGTGTCTAACTTTTAGAATTAATCTTTCTAGTTCTTGAGTGAAAATCACTGTCACGCATATATGGGTGACATGGCGATCAACGTGTTAAACCAAAATAATTCACCGTGTAAATGTTCGATCGCGTCGCGACCAAGTCAATATGCCGCGTTTATTCCCTTCCATTCTTTCGATAAAATTTGACCCGTTCCTGACCGTGGTATAACATTCGACGAATCGATATCGCGTTTCCCAACCGCATTGTTTACGATTCGACGCCGAAAAGCATAACGATCGAACGCGTTTCGTAGGAACAGAATCGCCGAACGCGGTGAATTTATATCCTCGAGGTGGATGGGCTCGATTCGAGCCACGATAAGGGGTAATTGCAATCTTTGCCAGACGAATCACCTATGGCCGTTTAGTTTCGCAGTCGCGTTTGCTATACCACGACCGTCCCGGGACCAGTTTACGATAGTCAACCGTTCGTTCAAGGGTTCCAGGTTGCATTGAAAATGTCGCTAGACGAAATAGTCTCTACCGTGGTTGAAATAAAGACACCTCCTTCTTATCAAAGATTATGTTGGAATGCAACGATTGCCACTTTCGGGCCTTAAGGGAAAGGGTCTGCTTTTCCTTAAAGCAGAAAGAAGGGTGGGATCCTAGCAGGGACAGAAAGCAACGATCCTTAGTCCGTCGAAATAAGTCAAGTGGTACGGGTCGTCGTGAATTTCGGACATCTTTCCTCCAACATTCTTATACAGAGTGTCCCAAAAATGTTGGAGGTCCTTGAAAAGGGTGGTTCAGGGGGTGATTTGAAACAACTTTTTCCTTAGCGAAATTGTTGTCCGAGGCTTCGTTGAGGAGATATCAACGAAAAACACTGACCAATCAGAGCGCGCGGATACCGTTGGAGCGGCCGCGTTAGCGATGGCTACGCGCTAGGTAGCCGCTCTCGCCCGCGAACAAGTGACTCGACGTGCATCGAAAGATATTGACGCGACCGCTCAGCGCGTAGCCTTCGCTACCGTGACCGCTCCGACGGTATCCGCGCGCTCTGATTGGTCGGGTTGTGTTTATTAATATCTACTTAACGAAGCCCCATCCGACACTTTCGCAAAGGAAAAAGTTGTTTCAAATCACCTCCCGAACCACCCCTTTCAAGGACCTCCAACATTTTTGGGACACCCTGTATATGTTGTAATCCTTTAGAAAATAAAGTTTATAAAAATACAATTCTAACAGATTAAACCATGATTCATTGAACACCTTCGAAACGAATTCTTCATTGGAAAAATTGGTTGGAAAATACAGGACAAATAAAAGAGAAACCATCGGTACATTTCCCAATTTTATGCTGATTCAAGCTCCCTTCCTTGATAGGAAATTTCGCATGCGCATAAAGAATTCGTGGAATATGCTCCGGAGCAAAAGACGTCAAAACGAATTCGTTCTCATTACTATTTCGCTATTTTCACGACGAAAATACTAGATTACAGTGGTACAATTATAAATTAGATTGTAGCAATTATTGTTAAAGGTCTACTTGCACATATCCGTAACGTGTCAGTTCCGTATCCGTACCGTATCAATAACGTCAGCGGTGTCGGACGGGTTTGAACATGCCCATTCAAAAACAACAGAAGAATATTTCAAATCACTGACACTGATGGAACATTACGGAACTGACACATTAAGGTCGATTCAGACTATACGACACGGACCGACACCGACACGACAAAACATTAAAACACGCGTTTTAATGGAACTATTCACACTTAACAGACACCGACCTGAATGTTCCG